CATTGAACACCTTCAAGATGAAACTGGATGCTTATCTTGCTGGGATCCTATGACCCCAGCTGACTTCCTGCCCTTTGGGCAGGGGGCTGGACTTGATGATCTTCCGAGGTCCCTTCCAGCCCTAATGTCTATGAAATCTATGAAATGGTTTTCGCAGGAAGGAAACGGCCCAGGGTGAGCCCAGCCCTGAGCTCAGGAAAGTGAAAGTAGCCCCGTGCCCTCCCGTCTCACAGCCATGGCCACAGCGAGCGCTGTACAAAGCCTCCGGGACGAGGCGAGCTGCTCCATCTGCCTGGAGTTGTTCATGGCCCCGGTGATGATTGTGGGCTGCGGGCACAATTTCTGCCGAGCCTGCATCGCCCAGTGCTGGGAGGGGGCCGAAATGGACGTCACCTGCCCCCAGTGCAGACAGACCTTTGCCCAGAGGCTCCTGGGCCGAAACAGGCAGCTGGACAATTTAGTAGAAGTGGTCAAGGGCCTGAGCGTGGGGTCAGTGGAGGGAGCCGGGGGCAAGATGGTGTGCGAGCAGCACGGGGAGGCTCTGAAGCTCTTCTGCGAGACAGACCAGGTCCTGATGTGCGTGATCTGCCGGGAGTCCTGGGCGCACCGAGCTCACCCCGCGGCTCCCATCCAGGAGGTTGCGCAGCAGTGCAAGAACGGGCGCGCGGGCCCGGTCCGGCTGTGCAGCTGGGGGGGATGTACACCTCCCTGCGGCGCTGGGTCTTTCTGCCCCGTGGCCACGGCACAACGGCGTGGCTGCACACAGAGGCTGGTTTGTGGTAGCCCCTGTGCAAGCCATCCTGCTGGGGGGAGGCGAGAAGGACCCAAATGCCCTTTGCTACGTTCCTGACTCAGCAAAGACAACTGAGACGTGCTCTTCTCCAGCCCGAAACCCCAGCTGTTTGATTCGGGGACAAGCACCACCTGCCTGGTTTAATGACAGTAACTCTGGCACAACAGAGGGGGGAGGGCTGGTCTCCAGCTCCATCCCATAATAATGACTAGCACTTTAACCTTATAATTGCCCAGTTATTACACCCTTGTCATCAAATCTTGCCTTTGAAAGCAGACGAAGCAGGAACACGGCTCCCCTGTCCCTGGACACGCAAAGCAGTGAACCTTCTCCAGTGTCACCGACCCACGGTTGTGTGCGGGGCTGTGTCTTGAAACAGGGGGTGTCCGGCACCGGTTTCCCTTCAGTTGTTACAACCCTCCCTGGGAGCTGCCTGGGGACTCCTTGGGGACGGGGGGATTGTAGCGCGTGGACAGACTCTGTTCCCCTCGGACAGAGCCCACGTGGCATGCTCTGGAGGGCAGGCCCTGCTCACGGGATCTTCCACGAGCAGCCGCTTCCCCCAGCCGATGCTCCCGGCGCGTTGCACAAGTCTCAGTAATGCGCATTGCATTGGTGCCGGGGGCTTCAGGGCTAACGCTGGGTCCAGAGGGTACGTGGTGGCACCGCCCGAGTCCAGGGAGCACGGCCAGGACCTCCTTTTGTATCTGAGCACCTCCTTCCCCTGTCTTTGTCCAGGCCTGGCTACCAAATGCCGTGCTGCACTGGTCCTGGATTAATGCTGCTCTTTCTGAGGCATTTCGCTGTAGCTGTAGCAGTAGCTGTACTGCTGGGCTGTGGTACTTCAGGACTGGTGTCTCACTTCAGAGTTTCTTCATTTCAGTGCCCAGAGACCAGACCTGTGTCTTGTCCGGCCCAGCTGCCTAAGACTGGCTGGCACTCTGCACTGTCGACCGCGGTGGATTCAAGGCCGTGTTATTTTCTGTTCAGTGCATGTCCCTGACAGTCTGCACTTCCCACTGGTTGCAGTGTTGCCTTGTGGCACCTTCCTAGGACCGGCTCCATTTTTCTATGTGCTCTTCCTGCTGGGCAGGAGCTGGCTCCACAATCCAGCTGGAAACTGGCTGCTTGCTGCTCCAGCTGTGTTAAGCACACACTATTCGGTGCTGCGTCCAGGCAAGGGTGTGCTGCTGGTCCAGCCTGAGCGCATGGGCTTTCCTGGTGTCACGTCACAGTGCAACTTTGAGCAGCCCTCTCGGTTATGGTGTGGGGAAGAGACTCCAGCTTCTCCCCTCCAAGGAGAACTGACCCAAGGAGTTTTCCTTCCCGCAGAAACAAATTCAAACTCGGCTGCAGCTGCTAAGGGGGGAGAGGGAGAGGCTTGAAGCACTGCACACGAGTGAAAGCCAGAAACACCAGGAATACCAGGTGGGTGCTGCCGTGGTCCGGCTGATGTCGGGGAGGAAGGAAGGGATGTGTCCTGCTCTGCATGTTTGGTGGGACAGTGACCGTGGCATTTTGTGACCGTGTGTTGCAGGGTGTTGTGGCAGGTGCATGGAGCCAGGCCTTGCAAACAAAAAAATTGTGTTCAGCTGATAGCTATATATATAGCGGTGTTTCACTTTAATTGTTGAAAAATGTGGATTTGGGGTTTTTAGCAGAGAAGTTTGCATTTTTAAACAGAGAAAACCAGGATTACTGATTATAAGAGGAAACCTTTCCTTGCTGACAGCCATGGACTTCTCCCCTCCCTAAGGTCCTGGCTCTCAGGGAAACAGAAAAAAACCTTTGCAAAATGAAGAGTGAAGAGATCCCAGGCAGGGCCCCAGACCTGAGCTACCCCCAGCTCTGCTCCAGACGGTGGCAGGTCGGGGGTCTCAGCTGTGGAGACAGTCAGGACCACGGGGCCTTACAAACCATGCCCTGACTCTCCCCAAAGCGGCTTCTTTCCCTGACGTGGTTTCTTTCTGTTCATGGCAGCAAAAGGCAGCAGCCGAGAGGCAGAAGGTTGTGTCTGCGTTTGAGCGACTGCACCGGTTTCTGGAGGAACAAGAGCGACTCGTGCTGGCCGAGCTGGGAGAGGTGGAGAGCAGGATTGAGAAGAGTCAGGGGGAGACTGTCACCCAACTCTCCGAGGAGATTTCCCATCTCACCAACCTGATCAGGGAGCTGGAGGGGAAGTGCCAGCAGGCCGCCAGTGACCTCCTGCAGGTGAGGCACATGAAATGTCTCCAGTCCCAGTGCAGGGGAGGGAAAAGGCTAAACCTTGGGTCTGCCAGGACCAGGTGCATAACTGAGGAGGGGCGACAAGGGCAACGGCCCCTGACAGGCACGTGGTGGCAGTGATGGGAGATGCAGAATATCAGCCCCAGCTGCTGCTGCCCTGTGCATGTCCACTGCCCAAGGTGCATGGCTGCCCTATTACATCTCTTGGGGGATCACTAAATCAGGGCTTGTAAAGGGGCTGAACTTTCCCCAGATCCTCTGTGTGCGGCACTCGGAGTCTGGGGACAAAGTGCGTCCCCTCGGGCAGGGGGTCCCCAGTGTGGGGCATTGCACCGAGCTCACTCTTGCATCTTTGTCTCTCCCTTTAGGACATGAGGAGCACGCTGAGCAGGTACGTGGCTCCACCTGACTTCCCATAGAGGGAAGGGTCCTGGAGACAATGCAATGGGCACATCTCTGCAGGGCACCACAACACAGCAAGCACTGGTTCTGTCCCTGAGGTGGGAAGCATGAACGTCCCCCTCTTCTCCTCGGGGAAGTGACGGCTTTGGGCACTGGCGGCCTGAAGTCTGTAAGGTGTAATCTGGGCTTTCCCCCTCTTGTCCCCGGGGAATAGTCCTGGCCACCAGAGCTTGAGCCAACTACCCGTGAAGTCTCTGCTCCTTTCTGATCCCAGAAAATATCCTGGACATTTTGGAGCTGGAGAAAACATCCCTGCTGGGGATCGGTCCCTTCTGCGGGAGCTGCCACCGCCACCGTGGGCAACTGGTGCCTCCCGAGTCGAGTGGGTGGCATCGTCTGTGGGGCCAGAGCTGGCGAGCTCTCTCAGAACCACCGGCCCTGTCATGGGGGGCATGTTCCCCTCCGCTGTGCTCCTCCTGTGCATCGCCTGTGACTGCCACTGTCTGTCCTGCCCCTGTGGCTGAGGCACATGGCCAGAGTCAGTCTCTAGGTCCCTCCATCCACCCAATGTTTCTACCATGTAGCTGAGCTGCAAAAAGAAAATCAAATAACACAGACTCGTTTTTCCCAGGTGCAGGAAGGAGCAGTTCCAGTTGCCAGAGGGGATTTGCCCAGAGCTGGAAACAAGACTCAGCATCTTGTCTGGACAAACGCTAACTCTACAGGAGACATTGAAGAAGTTTCAAGGTACGGAGAAGGGGGCTGCAAAAGGGAAGAGAGAAGCGTCCTTGTTGAGGAAGAAGAGACAAGCAGTTGGTTTGAATTTGGAGCCAGCATCTTTTTTAATTAGGAGATAAACTAAATGTGCTGGACTGATATCGCAGGGAACAGGAATGAAGACACGAGGCAAGGGACTCTCTCTGCCTTTGCACGAATCACTGATGAACCAGGGCTCCTCTGAGCGCCCCTTTGTCCCGGGTGCAGAGCCGCAGGGCCCCTGCTGCTCCAGTGCTGCTCAGCCTGGGCACCTGCAGCTGGGGTGGTGGGAGCTGCGGGGCCCTGCCCCACTCAGAGCGAGCCCCCAGTGCCTCATGTCAGGCCACCAAAGTTAAGAGCCAAAATTAAACATGAGGCAGGCTGTCAGGTTTGGATCCTGCTGGCTTAACCCCAGGGGTGCAGCAGCAGGGGGAAGGGTGCTCCCAAGGGCCAGGAGAGGAGCAGGAAGAGAGCAGAGCAGGCAGGTGGGGGGCGGCCCAGGTGAAGCTGCCCCTCTGGTATCCTGCACCCCCACAGGGGCCGCTGGAGCAGAGGGCCACTCTGTCTGGACCCCTGGACTTCCCCAGCCAGCGTCAGCCCTTGCCTGTCCCCTCCGCCAGTGAACAAGAGAGCTGTGAATCTCATCCCCTTCCCACAGGCTCCCTCTCCACCCCTGCTGCTTGTCCCTTTCTGTCTCTGAGTCCCTCACCCCAGTGTCTAAGGGGGCAGGATGGGCTGGGCACTGAACTCCCCTGGATCCGCGGTGTTACATTTCTCCCCCTACTCCTCTGCCTGCACCTGCAGCTCCCTCCCGCCCTGTCCTGGGAGAGGAGGCTGCGCTGCAGGGGAGCAGGGAGATGTGGAGGCAGCTTCTGCAGCCACAGTCCCAGCAGCAGGGGGGGAGCTGCCCCCGTGTCTCCGCCCCGTCTCCGG